TTGCCCCCAGAGGTCATCATTGCCAGCACAGTGATCAGCATGTTCTTGATTCTCTCTGGGGTCTTAGGTAAGGGGTGTTGCATAATGAATAATAAGGAAGATTCTATCAGTCTTCATATCTTTCAGGATGAAGTGCTCTTGCAATCTATGTCCTCTTTTGATGTAATGCAGGCAAATGTCCCTGTTAAAATTCAGACATTCAGGATATCAAAACATATCACATAATCATTTCAGAGAAATGGAATTACAACTTATTAATTCATTAAATATTTTATTTCCCAGCTACGGTTAGCTTTTGGAAGTACAAGGAAGAAATCAAAGTTTGGCTCTTCACTCACCGGCTGTGCCTGTGGGCTGTGGCACACGAGGAGTATGATAATAACAAAAAGTACGATGCTTTCATCAGTTACTCCAATAAGGTAAGATGTTCCCTCCTTATGGTTGTCAGTGGCACAGAGGCAGAGGCAAGGGTGGTGCCATTATTCAAGCTGTGCAGGTTCAGTCGTGTTTAAAGACACCAGATATCTGCAGAGACATGATAAGCAGAGTGGTTTGAGTGATAATGATAGTGATTATTGGGCATGGTGGAATAAACATCAACAAATGATATATACCAATCAGGTGGAAACTCATTCTGGTGTTTTCCCTGTGTGAGAAGCTAAGGATCCTGGCATAACAGTGCTGGTAACTGTGGAAGGTGTGGATAGTAATGTGAAAGACAGTATGATACAATTGCATTTGCATTCATGCACAGTCACGTATTTTTGATATTTGCGTATTCAAATAAGGTTACTTAAGTCCAAAACTCTATGTTCCTTTGTGGTCTTCAATCTTGAGCACAAGCAACATGCAATCTCCCTCCCAAACTGTAAGTACTGATGTAGTGGGGTGAGGTTTGCAGTATTTGTACCTGGAGTGGGATGTTGGCCCAGGCTTGAGGTGAAGAAGCATGTGTGGTTAGTCTTACCAACATACAATAGTAGTTCAGTCTGTGTATGGTCAAAGGCTATGGGAGTTCACCCTATACTGATCTGTTTGGTAAAGTACACTTGGTATCATCATTGGACATATCATTTGGTTATGAGGCCTGATAGAGACCAGGATAAGAAAATAGTCCCAGGCAAGAGAAGCTGACTGTATAGATAACTCATCTCTATTGGGTCTTGATTGCTGGCTGCAGTTGGGTGTCTCTGGACTTTGGCAAACCAGGAAAGTGCAGGGGATCAAGGTGCTGCTTCTGCTTGCCTTATATTCAGCAAGGTGAAGGCAAGGTGGTGATGATTGAGATAACCCACATGCACCTGAAGTCCAAGATCAGAGTGAAGTGTAGACTCAGAGGCAGAAGATAGTCTGTTGAAGTCACTGCATGCCTGGCAGTTTCATGGGTGATGATAAGATGACTGTCTTGATCACTCACCTCTACAGTGAGGAGTGTCTAATGGAGCTGGTGAAGTGGCCGCTTATGCAGAGGCCATTAAGGCAACTGATGGTGGAGCTACCCATAGGGAGCTCAGAATATGCTGTGACATAACCTAAGTGGTTGGCAGAGGTCCAACATGAGGTGGGACCCAACTTTATGTTTGCCTGTCAATAAAGTGGGACTACGTCCAGGATACCAAGTCAGTCGTCTATGTGGAGGGTGACTTGATTTGACTGCACACAACCCATGGTGAAGAAGAGGCCTTTCAACTAAGCAACATCATATCTGAGATTAGCATAGTTGTGCAGTTGATCATCTAGATTACATATTGCATCAGGTTTAGATTTTCCTGGTAGAGGTGACATCTGTTCACCAGTAAAAGCCAAGGGTATGATAGAGGTGACATCTGTTCACCAGCAAAAGCCAAGGGTATGACTGACAGTTTGACAAATATGAGATTCATTATAAGAGCAAGAATTCTTGTGTGTGATGGAGAAGTATATTTATCTTTACAAGGATGTCCACCTGTATGAAGGAGGGGACACCGCAATGATGGCTTTTATGTGTAAGCAGCTGCATAGCAGTGACCCTGCAGAGATGCCTCTAACATTAGTCTCTGGATTTTTGCTTGTCAGCTGAATATTCATTTTGGTATTTTCCCTGTATCTAATCCCCAGGATTGTGACACAGTAGTGCCAATATTTTGAGAATAAAGACTAAAGCATTGTGAATAAAATGTATGATTAAATGTAGTCTTTAAACAGGTGTGTTTTGTGTTAGCCTTTCGGCCTTGCTAGGTACTCTAATTTTCTTTTGTCACCATATTTATGTTATTTGTTATCTTGTATTACCTATAAATATTAAAGAAAGCTGTATGTATTGTCTTCTCCACCTGTGCCTTGCGCTCTGTTGCCTCTCCCTTATTCTTGGACATGAGCTCCACAAAAAGAATGACTCCCTCAAAGGTTCTAAGAGGGGAGGGTTACAGCAGACATTGAAATTACTTATAACTTATTCAAATTTGAATCTCTGATTTATACTGTCATGATATGAAAATGTAGAACAGCCTGTGTGTATATGGCTGATCGATACTGCATAATATAAATGGAAAGCAGAGAGAGAGTTTGAATGACTTGAGTCAGTGAGCATAAGTCAATTTAAATTAAGATTAACCATATATTTATTCTTAGAATTTAAAAGATATATTAGGCTTATTCAAAGCAAACAGATGATATATATATTTATACATTTTTTTTGCTTTTCACAGGATGAAGAATTTGTGAACACTGTATTAGTGCCAGGACTGGAGTCTGGGGATCCAAAGTACAAAGTATGCTTACACTACCGTGACTGGTTGCCTGGAGCTTATATTCAGCAGCAGATTACTCAGAGTGTGGAAGCAAGTCGCAGGACCATCGTTGTGCTCTCATCAAATTTCATAGAAAATGTTTGGGGTCATCTTGAGTTCAAGACAGCTCACTGCCAAGCTTTGAAAGACAGGCACAATAGAGTTATTGTTATTGTACTTGGAGAGGTAGGTGTTTCTTTGATCTAAATGTATTATATCCATTGAATACACTAGTATAGTATTTCCTTTAGTTAGAAATGCTAATATGAAAGTAAATTTGAATTGGCTCTTAATTCCAGGTCCCTCCAGAAAATGAACTGGATGAAGAGCTGAAATTGTACCTCTCAACCAGAACTTACCTCCAGTTCGGTGACTCCAAGTTCTGGGAGAAGCTGAGGTATGCAATGCCGCACCCCTATGACCTCATCTACAAAAAGCAAAGGAAACGGAGAGACACAGACAAATTAGAATTGGTGAAGTCGGATTCCAAGGAGAGTAAGTGAAAAGGAAAGAGAACCTGATGGAAAAGGACATTGGAGTTGTGTTCATAAGCAGAGTTTGGAAATAGCAAACTAGTTTTAGATTTGAAAATTAGTCTCCACTTATAAGTTTATTTACCCAAATGTAATGATTATTGTCACCATTACCTGTGATACTTTTAGTTGTACTGATTGCAAAAAATAATGGCAAAAATGTGAGTAGCAATACTGACTCTCAATTTTTTTTTTTTATCTGTCTATGCCTTTTTCAGAAATACTGTTACAGGTACTAATGAAAGTTGGGAGATATCATACAGGTTTTCCTGTTTTTCTAAATAAACTTATAAGTTAAAGGCAATTTTAAAGTCTAAAAATATTGATGGTAATTTCCTACTCTATTCATATGTATGTATTACAAGAAATGTTTTTCGTTCCTCCGGTTTAATAGGAAAATAGTGCTATATGATACTCATTGAAAATAAGTTTGATATTGTTGAATAATGTATCCTATTAAGTGAGGAGAGATCCTATAAATGTAAATGGTAATCTGTCTTGGAATAATGAACGTGTGCAATACAATTAACGGTTGGCTGAAACAAAACTTTGTGTTAGCCAGAGAAAGTTGCTAACCTATGGATTCAGTGTTGGAACAAAATACCAGTGAGTATTTTTTTTTTTTTTTTTTTTTTTTTTTTTTTTTTTTTTTTTTTTTGAGTTGATTATGAAAATAAACAATTGAAAAATTGAATGTCAAGGGTGAAAGGAAAACGGCCACAGTAAGACCAGTGAATATGAATCGTAACATTTTCAAACTCTTCGAAAGTTCCTCTTCAGACGAATAATATGAACAAAGGGAAGATGGATAATTTTGATTATGGTGGTAGGGAAAAAAAAAAGAAAAAGGAAAAAAAAAAAAAAAAAAAAAAACAGTGAATAAAATTATATTTATTGAAAAGTGGCATCTCTCCGTAATAACTGTTTACTAACTAGACTACTCTGTATTCTCTGTGAATCCTCTGTTCATAAATAGTCTTGTAATAACCATATTCATTACTGTAGCTGATTACAACTTGGCTTGACAGTAATGCACAATTTACATTTTCTCTAGTCATGTGCCTACAAAAGGTCTAGCTTACTAACCTCTTATTGTGTTTAACGTCTTTATTGTTTTTATTTTTATTTTGTTTATTTTAGGAATACAATGAATATCAATTTGTGAAAACAAACTGCTCAAACTAAAACTTTCCTTCAGAATATTTTGTATTATCCTAGAATTTTTGTATTAGGCTGTAATGCTCTTATGGATGATAACAAATTTGTACATTTTTTCCAGATTTTCTCAAAGGTGTGTAGTCAGGTCTGATTGTTTTAACCCAGTGCCGACGGGAATGACATGTACGTGTATGCTATGCCCACTGTGAGTTTACCTGTGTGATTGTTTTTACACATAGATGGCTACGCTTGTACTAAGTCACCAATGAGCCAGTTACGAGTACCGCCTGCCTTGCCTGTTCACCTGTTCATTAATTTACAAAAATATTTTACGTTATCTTATTTTGCTGTTACTAATATTTATAACATTATAGCAATTATAATGTTTATAATGAAAATAACACCATCGATATTCATAGCACTAGTAAAAAATACATTTTTCACGCCAATTCAAATCATGCAAGGTCACAAGGTCTACTAATTGACTCATTTGTAGCTAAGCAGAGCCATCTATGTGCAGAGACAAAAAATATAAAAAATGAGCACAGCATTTTCCCCATTTTTTATTCATTTTCCCCTGCGGCATTGGGTTAAATGAAGGTTTTTAAAAGACCAGATTTATTATTAAATACGTAGTCTCAAGAGAATTCAAAAGAAAGAGTCTGAGACACACACACACACACACACACACACACACACACACACACACACACACACACACACACACACACACACACACACACACACACACACACACACACACACACACTTTCTCAATCATTCCAAGGGCACACATAGCCAACATGCCACATGCACAAAATAATATGCCAAGAGTTTATTTAATGTACAAAATGTTTGTATTTCACTTTTTTTTTTAAGGTACAGGATTATCCAATATTGTACTTGCAGCTCTATTCTATAAAGACATTGCAAAAATGAAATAATTTTTGTGCAATAACACTTTCATTGTGTTACTATGTAAGGTGAGTATTACTCTCAGCAAGTAACCAATGAGTACTCAGTACATTCTATGAATTGTTTTACTTTGAAAATGATTTTCCTCTGTTTTTTATGCTAACAAAAAGGGACCGAGAAGGAGTTGTATTTCATAAAATTTAGCTCTTAGTGTTTATGAAAGATTTGAGGGTCTTTGTACCAAGCTTAAAAGCTGAGCATTTCATTGGGAAAAAGATTATGCATAACCTTGATGATGGTTCTACAATTCACCAGCTCTCCCTGTGTGTTTTAAATAATTGGGGTCTTAGTCACTTGCAGTGCTAGAGAGGCTCAAACTTTCAAAGAGCAAAGCAGTATTTTGAGGGTAGAATACTGCTCCGTTAGCAACTTGCTTATTACACAAGATGTTAAAGATAGTTCTGTAAATCTTTCAAGTGACTGTTCACATAAAACTCAAAATGACCATCAGACATAGGATGATAATTGATGTTAGAAGAACTATGTTTTCTTCACCCAAGTGACTTAAATCTTTTCAGATACTGAAAGCCTGATAAAGAATTCTTACAGAGCTAATATTTTCATTCTGCTGTGTACACAATGGAAACAGGAATTATATTAATGTGCTTTGTAAATTAATGTCAATAAATTTTCAGAAATACTGTATACCTTGGTATTATTTGTGTCTACTATCCATATGCTTTATTTAGTGCATAGACTTAGATTTTTATGAAACTTAAAATCAAGGCATTTTGCCAGATGAATGATACAGGAATTACATATCAAAATTTACAGAGAGGAAAAAAGTTTTTCATTTTCTATTTTTGTAAGGATAAAAGTGCAATTTAGATATCAAAGAGTATATTTGATATTGAGATTAAAAAGTCGGAGGTATTTTTAGCATGTCAAATGTATTACCCAAATATACTGGAGCAGAATGTGGCACTTTGATGTTGATTTATATCGTAATCATGCAATCATTAGTATATAGGACACCCAGCCCCATGATCTCAGTAAAGAAAAAAGGTAGACATACTTATGCAGTGGTACCAGTTTTAATACAAATCTATATACATATTTGTCTGAATTACTGATGTTGGTAGTTGCACCCCTGAATCAGCCACTGGAAGCAATAACAGTAACAATAAGAATGACACAATGATGAGCAACTATAGCAATCACAATTTTTAAAATTATCCGGTTCGCCCATACTACCATTATCTAACCCCCCCCCCCCCCTACACCGTACTCAGCCATCTCCATGTGACATCATGGGCCTTATCCATGTGTGGTCATAGGCCAAAGCTGCGCAGAACTTGCAAATGACAAGACATTACATATATAGACTTTAAAGGCAACAACTGCGGGACAAGTGACAAGTCATAGGTGTTAGAGGGTTCTTCAGTTCATGTCCAATATGTAAGGGAGTTATAATCTCACTGATGTATGTTTTTCTGACGAAAATAAACATCTCTTGTGCTGTAAAGTTATTCATTCTCAGTCCTCCCTTTGTTTTACATATCACGTAATGGACACCATTCATAATAATAAGGGTAATAATAGTAATGATAAAATATGATAATGATAATTATAATAATGGTAATAATAACAATAACAATAATAACGACACAATGATGAGCAACTATAGCAATCACAATTTTTAAAATTATCCGGTTCGCCCATACTACCATTATCTAACCCCCCCCCCCCTACACCGTACTCAGCCATCTCCATGTGACATCATGGGCCTTATCCATGTGTGGTCATAGGCCAAAGCTGCGCAGAACTTGCAAATGACAAGACATTACATATATAGACTTTAAAGGCAGCAACTGCGGGACAAGTGACAAGTCATAGGTGTTAGAGGGTTCTTCAGTTCATGTCCAATATGTAAGTGAGTTATAATCTCACTGATGTATGTTTTACTGACGAAAATAAACATCTCTTGTGCTGTAAAGTTATTCATTCTCAGTCCTCCCTTTGTTTTACATATCACGTAATGGACACCATTCATAATAATAAGGGTAATAATAGTAATAATAAAATATGATAATGATAATGACAGCAATGATAATAATAATAATAAT